TTTGGTCCAGATCCATCATTGTTTGTATCTACAGTGCTCTCTGGATGGAGGTGAACCACAACTCCCAAACCCAAGGTCAATGCCCACCAAACCCTCCATCATTTTCTGTTGGTCATGGGAGTTCTGTGTGCCAAGTTTGGTTCAATTCCATCGTTGTTGGAGTTCAGAAGGCTCTTTGATTGTAGGTGAACTATAAATCCCAGCAACTACAACTCCCAAATGACAAAATCAAATCCCCCCCCCCAACCCCACCAGTATTCAAACTTGGGTATATCGAGTATTTGTGCCAAATTTGGTCCAGTAAATGAAAACACATCAGATATTTACATTACAATTGATATCAGTAGCTTGGCTACGGTGGTCCACGCTCTGGTTACATCCCGTATAGAATACTGCAACGCTCTCTACGTGGGGTTGCCTCTGAAGACTGCCCGGAAGCTACAACTAGTCCAACGCGGCAGCCAGGTTGCTCACAGGAGCGGGGTACAGGGAGCGTACAACTCCCTTGCTACGCCAGCTCCACTGGCTGCCTATTAGCTTCCAGGCTCAATTCAAAGTGCTGGTGCTCACCTATAAAACCCTAAACGGTTCCGGCCCAGTTTACCTGTCCGAACATATCTCCCATACGAACCATCTAGGACCTTAAGATGATCTGGGGAGGCCCTGCTTTCGGTCCTAACCCTTGCAATCGCATCTGGGGGGGATGAGAGACAGGGCCTTTTTGGTGGTGGCCCCTCGGCTCTGGAACTCTCTCCCGCTAGAGATCAGATCTGCCCCCTCCCTCCTGACTTTCAGAAAGATGGTAAAATCTTGGCTCTGGAACTTAGCATTCTCAGATTGATGATTGAATCAATAACTGTTGACCACAAGGCGGATGGTGGTGAATTTGTGATTTACCTTGACGAATTGGCTTTATGTAATTCTTGATCTGTATTTTAATGTGTTTTAATGTATTAATGTACTATGATGTTATTATGCTTTAGTTTATTTGTATATTGATTCCCTGTTGTTAGCCGGCCTGAGTCCCTCCTCGGAGGTCGAGAAGACCGGGTGATAAAAGCTCTACAGCAGTGGTTCTCAGCCTTCCTAATGCCGTGACCCCTTAATACAGCCCCTCATGTTGTGGTGACCCCCAACCATAATTTTGTTTTCATTGCTACTTCATAACAGCCATTTTACTACTGTTATAAATCATAACGTAAATATCTGATATGCAGGATGCATTTTCATTCACTGGACCAAACTGGGCACAAATACCCAATACACCCAAATGTGAATGCTAGTGGGGTTGGGGGAGGATTGATTTTGTAATTTGGGAGTTGTAGTTGCTGGGATTTATAGTTCACCTATAATCAAAGAGCATTCAGAACTCCACCAATGATGGAATTGAACCAAACTTGGCACACAGAACTCTGATGACCAACAGAAAATACTGGAAGAGTTTGATGGGCGTTGACCTTGAGTTTTGGAGTTGTAGTTCACCTACATCCAGAGAGCACTGTGGACTCAAAGCATGATGGATCTGAACCAAACTTGGCACGAATACTCAATATGCCCAAATGTGAACAATGGTAGAGTTGGGGAAAATAGATCTTGACATTTGGGAGTTGTAGTTGCTGGGATTTATAGTTCATTACAATCAAATAACATTCTGAACTCCACCAACCATAGAATTGGCTCAAACTTCCCACATGGAATCCCCATGATCATCAGAAAATACTGTGTTTTCTTATGGTTTTTGGCGATCCCTCTGACACCCCCTCGTGACCCCCTCAGGGGTCCCGACCCCCAGGTTGAGAAACACTGCTCTAAATAAATAAATAAATGACAGTTATAAAGTAGCAATGAAAATGATTTTATGGTTGGGGGTCCCCACAACATGAGGCACTCTATTAAGGGGTCGTGGCAATAGGAAGGTTGAGAATCACTGTTCTAGAAGCATTCTCTCCTGAAACATAGTTCTAGAACATGGGCATACAACCCGAAAAATCTACAACAACCCAGTGATCCCGGCCATGAAAGCCTTCGACAATATATTTAAAATTCATATTTATTGAAAAACCGCGAAACGGCAAGTCCACGGAATCGAACCGCAAAGTAGCGAGGGAACACTGTTCTAGAAGCATTCTCTCCTGAAACATAGTTCTAGAACATGGCCATACAACCCGAAAAATCTACAACAACCCATTGATCCAGGCCATGAAAGCCTTCAACAATATATTTAAAATTCGTATTTATTGAAAAACCGCGAAACGGCGAGTCCACGAAAAGTGAACCGCAAAGTAGCGAGGGAACACTGTATAGCTGCACAAGAAAGATTTGTTGGGAAAAGAAGAAAAGAAAAACAGTGTTTGTGCTTTCCAATTAGTTTTGGGAACCGGCTTGCTTAATTTAACACCGAGCAGTTCTGAATCTGCCTTTCCTTGAAAACAAAACGACAACACAGACCAAGCCGGCATCCATCCAGTGTTTTGAGCAAAGAATGTGTCTTGATAAAAAACACAGCATTCTTTATTACTCGGAGATCGGAGGTCAGGCTTATAATGAAGCCGGAATCGAAATATATTCATACGGAGGGGAGGGGGAAAAGCCCACTTGTTTTGCAGGAAAGTCCACCGTCCTTTGGAAAAGCTTCCATTTAGAACTATGTTTCAGCAAAGGCACAAAACAAAAATCCATTAGTAGAAAAAATCTGTAAAAGCTTATCTGAACCATTTGCTCATTTTCTCTCGGAATAGATTAGCTTGGCTTCCCAGACCCGCTCCTGCCAAATGATTATAATAATCATAAAATAAAAAATAAAATAAGAGCAAGGATAATTAAATAAACCAAGTCGGCTCTCGCAACCGGGGAGGAATGGGTTCGGTTTGTTATTTCTGTTCCCTGTTTTTCAACCTCGCGGGGAGGAGTAATGAGCCCACAAAGCCATGGGGAGACCGGCCGCAAAAAGAAATATGGAGGCAGACAAGCATTTTTGTTATTTTTTTTCCAACAACCAAAGTTCTGAGTTTTTATTGTATTGAGAGCAACAATAGGATTTAAGATTAAACCCCCCCCCCCCAAATAAACAAAGAGAGAAGGAGCAACATGAAACACAGCATGAAGTTGGCCCTGATGTCCAGGAGCGGCAAGATGCCAACCGACTCAAACTCTTCCAAAGCTCTTCGCTTTCAAACTCACACGAAGCTCTACTCGAGCTTTACGGACCTTCGCAACTCTCACGTGCGGATGGAGTGTGACTGTCTTTTCGCGAGGTGCAATTCACCGAGGAAAAAAAGAAAACCGTTCCGAGCGAATAGGTCAATAGTCACAATGGAAAAACTCGGTTCTGATCAAGCCTACGTTCCTCCCGACTGACTTGATATAGCATTGTTGTCACTCCGATCGGCTAAAAAAAAAGGCAACGGCCACTCCTTGCGACACAAAAGCGCCGGCGTGCGCTGGGCCCACAGCAAAAGAATAAGGATTCATGAGCTTTATTTTTTTTTTAAAAAAAGAGAGACAACTTTTTGGTGTCTCCTAAAGTTGAGGACCCTTCCCAACCCCTTTTGTAGCTTACTCAACTGTTCCGCATTTCAGCTGGTTTAGATACTCTGCTTAGCTGCGTGAAGACAACTGCCAACTCTACAATCCCGAACAATAATGGCTGTTGGCCAACAGCCCCTATCTAAGGCATATATCTCTATTATCTTTTTTAAAAAAATCTCTGTATATGAAAGTCTTAATATTTTGGCTTTTTATATATATATTTTTAAAAAGTGCACATACAAACACACAAAACATTTCTTTCATTGTTTTTTTTAAAGTGCCACAATCATTACAGAATACCTTGCAAACTGCATTATGCAAATTATGTAAATGTTTGTCTGGGACGTTGGCTTTCTTGGGTTTGTTTTGACCCCGGTGGAGAGGGCATAAAGCAATGTGCACAATGCAGAACGCCTTTTCCCAAACTTACAAAGGATTGTGGGGCGAAATATCCCACGGAGCTGCAAGATAGGAGAAGTTCACATTGGCCTTCATGCCTTGCTGGAAAAGCCAACGCACCTCAATTGGCACGCATCCGATTTGTGGCAATGTCACATTTCACGGGGCCACTTTCGAGTTGCAATCCCAGCCCAAGCTCCTTGTTTAGCGGGAGAGACACCATCAGAAGTGTCAGTCTTCTACTTCTGAACTTTGCCCCCTGAAAAGGAAAGTTCTCCTTCCTCTCTCAAATTTCTAGCATTGCATCTCAGGACTCTTCCATTAGGGATCTTTGCCTTTCCAGCACTATATTAAGATCCCCCCCCCCCCAACTTAGGTTGGATCTGCACTGCCATATAATATCATAACTGCATTAAAGTGGATTATATGGTAGTGCAGATTCACATCATCCAGTTCTGTTTCCATCATCTGTTTCCTGAAACTGGCAGTGTAGATCAAGCTTCAGTTTAAATTTTTAAAATTTTCTTCCATTTTGTAACCACACTAAAAATAAAAAAAATAGTGATATGACATTTCTTTGTGTAGATTTTCAACCTGAACATTCTCCTGATAGTCTTTACTGACTTCAGTTGTTTCAGCTTGCTCTCTGAGTTGGAATCATATCCCATCCCCCCCCCCCCATCTACACAGTCATATAATGTAATTTCCCATCCCCCCCCCCCCCATCTACACAGTCATATAATGTAATTTCAGAATTAATTGAACTGGATAATATTATTATTATTATTAATAATAATAATAATAATAATAATAATAATAATTCACATAAGAGCTGACTTAGAAGATTTCATTGGAGCAGAGGCCAACAACAAGGTGTCCAGCAACTCTGTAAGTGCGATTACACTGGATCAGTTTCAATTGGTGAGTACTGTTGATGTGGACAAGCTTCTTGGGCAAGTAAGGAAGAGAACCTGCTTTCCTGATCCCTGCCCATCTTGGCTAGTCATCCAGGGAGAAGATGTGATTTGATCTTAAATGCAACAAATTCTTATGCATCTCTCAGGGAGGGAAAATTTCCATCCTGTTTAAAAGAAGCAGTAGTTAGGCTGCTGCTGAAAAAGCCCATCCTGGATATGGTGGTCCTGACTCATATTATGAAGTTCAATCTGCTTTATATGCATCTACGCTGACCATATCATGCAGTTCAGACTGCATTACATGGCAGTGTAGATGGGGCCATAGAAGAGCTGGAAGGGACCATAAGACCATCCAGTCCCCAGCCTTGCAAAATGTCTCCTCCAACAGGCAAAATTGACCCTATCCTTCTTGGTCATAAATCATTGGTTTCGAAACCCACCACCATTATATTTCCTTCAACTTCTTGCTGAAGTTTTAACTCACTGCAGTGCTAGAATTTTGGGAAGTGAAGGACAAATCTGTGCCAGAAGCAGTGTTTTCATTTGGGGGCCATTGACTTGTAGGAGCCTGATGCATGCCAAGGTTGCAACTTGAAAGGTGGTGACTGCAGCATATACAATCTTTATAGAGCTTGGCTGTTCAAGGTGCACTGATGGCTTTTGTCCACCATCTTTTCCATCTTTTCCCCAAAACAGTGTCAATCCCTCCCGTACCATCCTGGTTCTCTGAAACCTTTAGTGCTATTGAATGGGGAGCAGGTCTGAGACAGCTTCCCTTTGCTCCCCTCCTCCCTCAAGTGCAAATCATGTGTCCCCTCCCCACAAACCTATTATTTCCACAGTAGAGATCCTCCGCAGCACAGGATCGGTCAAAAATCAGGCATCCAAACTCAGCATGCAAGCAAAGGCCTTCTAAAACACACAAGAGGAAAAGAGCGCTCAATTCTCCCCTGCGGAAAGACTGGGACCAAGGCAAAGAAGGGTCCCTGGCCCCCAGGTCTGATTCATTTCATGTTTTGCAAATATAAACTCTTTTTTTTCTTAAAAATCTCTTCCCGTTTATATATACACGTTCTTTGGTAAATGCCACACATTCTTTGGGTAAAATAAAAAACCTGCTGCAAGCGAAGGGCAAAAATGGCTCAAGCTTTACACAAAGTGCGTTTGTATAAAAGGCGGCTTTCCAGGGAGCAAGTGTCCCGAACGGAAGCCTTTCCTGATAAACAACAATAGCAAAAACAACAACAACAAGAAGAGTGAGAACAAAAAAGGATATCAATACACGTAAGGCATCTCGAAAGCAGCCTAGAAGGTTGCAATGGGCATAGCCTTCCCTCCAATCGCTGTCTTGAAAAGACCACAACAAAATCTCTGTAATAATGGAGAGAGGCCATCAACAAATTGGACAACCGGGCGCAGCCCAATGTTCTACTTGGCTTCATAAGGGGGAAAAGAGACAATGGGAGTAGCCTTCAAGGGATAGCCTTCAGTCCATCTGAATCTGAGAAGAACGGAGACAGAAGATATCTGGTATGTCTCTCAACCAACATATATGTGAAAGGGGTCCAATGCATCCTTCTAACATCATGGGAGGTGCCGAAGTTAAGAGGCAACCCAAAATAGAGGCATAATTCCCATTGTGAGACCCATTGACACTATAGCCACTGAACTGGTTGACTTTCCCAATGTGTTGACGCATCATGCAATTGTTGATTCAATTGATTGACTTGAGTCCATCTGAATCTGAGAAGAACAAGGCAGAAGATACCTGGTATGTCTCTCAACCAACATATATGTGAAAGGGGTCCAATACGTCCTTCTAACATTATGGGAGGTGCCTAAGTTAAGAGGCAACCCAAAATAGAGGCATTGTCCCCATTGTGAGACCCATTGACAGTGTAATCACGGAATTGGTTGACTTTCCCAACATGTTGACTCGTCATGCAATCACTGATTCAATGGATTGACTCTAGTTGGGACTATCCAAGAACATTCCAGCTAATGCTCCAACTTCCCTTTGTTTCTAAGGACAAATGGATACAATGGGAATAGCCTTCAGGGGATAGCTTTTTTGTCCATGTTTACAAAAGTTAAAGGGTATTCTGGCCCTGGATCAGAGAAAGGACGGAGCTGAAAGGTGTCTGGTTCATCCCCCAGTGAAGGAGAGATATGAAGGTGGTGCAACGAGCATTATGGGACATACCAAATTTAAGAGGTAGCCCATAACAGAGGCCCCAATCCTCTTGTGAATCCCACTGGCAATAAAATCATTGTGTTGGTTGGGTTTCCCAATGAATGCACTGGGACTCACCATTCAATAGTTGACTCAATACTTAAATTAAGAGGCACCCTAACATAAAGGCGTCAATCCCCTTGAGTCTCAATAAAATAGGACCATTGAATTGATTGGGTTTCCCAACGTGTTGACCCACCATTCAACAGTTATGTTAATGGGTCTACTCTGCTGACTAACCATTTGGCTATGATGATCTACAAGCAAGATGGCAATGATCTCAAGGCTACCTATTGATGCACCAAAAAGGGCCAGGCAGAGAGGCATCCCCTCACTTTGCTTTAGTGTCCTTTTCCTCCCCAGAAAAGTATTTATTTTTTTTTTGGCTCTTTGAAGAGCTTTAAAAGTAAGTCACCAATCGGGCAATTGGACAGCATTGCGCTCACCAGGCTGCCTTAAAAGAAGGGCACTTTTTGACATGGCAAAACAGAACGTCCCCCAAAATACACAATTTTAAAAAATGCATAATAACATCATCATCATTATCATTATCAACAATAACACCAACAAAAACAATAATGCATAAAAGGGGTAATAAAAAAAGAGAAGGGTCTAGGACGGCTAGGACGCTGTCAATGCTTTGGGCGCTCCTTAAAGCTGCCGCAGCAATATCGAAACAAGGGAAGTCGATAGTCCTACCACATCACCACCACCCCTTCCCCTAATAGCCAATATTTACATGACATTCACAAAAGGCATTCTGGATTTTAAAACACAGAGTTATGCCCCAAATAACCTCACGGACTGTAATGCACAAAAAGCGGAGACGTTCTCCTTCCCGACTCAACGATTTCAATTGCTAAGCTCAAGAGAATGGGCAAGTCTGAAGAATCCCACGAAGATTCGTACCCGCGTTTGCAGGCGGCTTCTGATCCAGGGCCAGCGAAAATGCCGGAGGGCTCTCCATTGTCTTTAAAAGAAGTTCAGGACCACCTTCAGAGGCAGCAGTGTGCAAAAGGAGGCTTTCTCTCTCCAAAAGCTTTGCACAAAGAGGGAAAAGTACCTTTAGTTTTAAGGCACAGAAGGATATGTGGCCATGTACATATTGAGACGTATCCAAGACCCAAATTCCCTTCTGTGGTGAGCAAACCTTGTGTGAAATTCCACAGAGAAGACTCAACGCAAACAGATTGCAGTTCCAGTTTGGTACAAACATCCTTTGCAAACAATTTACAGTTGTTTTAACCACCGAACCGTATTCAACATCTGTGTGTATGCTAGGACTTCATTCTGCTCTTCGGGACAAATGCACAGTACAGCGTATAAACAATACATCCATTTCCAATCTAGAATTTTAAGACACCTGGACAAGTTGGGGATTTTTCCACATTTGTTAGTCCAAACCCTGGAAACAGGGTTGTGTTCTCATTTCTAAGTCCTCTGCTGTTGCTTCACCCAAGCAAGAAAGGGGAAGCCAAAGACCTTTGCAATATCCACAACATTAGCATAGATATGGTTATAAAGATATATACTATTTATATATAAAAACAGGTAAAGCAGGCAGCGTGGTAAATTGGTTGAGCCAACGGCTGCTCCAAAATCAGCTCAGCCCCATATCGGTGTGATCAGCTTCTATTTTCCACCCAAGCATAATTTTCCTTAAAGGAAAAGAGTGGGGAATTACCCTTAGACATCCCCAATTGGCAACACAGCAAACCCAAGTACGTCTACCATTGTTAATTGAGTCCTTCTCAAAATGGTGGGCAAAAGTGATGTTGTATTACCTCCTGATACTATTTTAAGAAGGGGAATTTGAGAGTAGTACAGGATTCTTGTGGAGAACTACTGGTTGCATGTTTTCATGTGTTTTGTGGGCTTTACGTATGGTTTGGAGAAAACATTGCCCACAAATTATGTCAATTTTTAGAAAAATTGGGGGTGGGGCAGTGCAGCCCACTCGTCATGCTTTACCAATGCAATAAAGCCACAAAAGAGGCCTTATAATAAAATAACGAAATTACAACACGTCTTTATGCGTGGTAGCACTAGAGGACTGCGATCATCTAGACATTGCATTAAACATTTCAGCATTTAAAAAGTCTTGTTGCTTCTCCTGATCCATGAAAGCACTATTCAACCCATATGCAACCACTCTCAAAAGTCTAATGTGCGTGTTGTGCGCCTTGTTATGCTGAGAAAAGGCAGAATGAACCAACGGGATGGAGAAATACAATGTCATTATCATCAGCATAAAGAGAACAGGTGAAACACCCATGAACTCGTTTAGTTGCTGAAGGGGACAGGTCAAACAACAGGTGTCTTTTCTCCTTGTCAAAAGAACGATTGAAAATGGCTCCAGCTATTCAAAACAAAGAAGAGCTAAAAATCCAATTTCTGTCAACATCTGCAGTCAATAAATGCACACATCTGAGCTCAGCTTGATGGGAATGAAGGATGTCTTTTTACAAGATAGGGTTGCTTCACCGTCTGCGAGCATTTGGCACAAAAGATCAGATTCTATGACTGCTTGAGAGGAGAAAAAAGGGCCCTCATATCTACTCTCTTTCCCTGCAAAAGGGACTCAAAAGTTCTGTGCAGTTTTCAGATGAGGAAACCCTCCAAAAAGTACAGAGTTCTTGTTTGGCTTGGCTTTGGGGACCATCACTGCCATGCTTGAAAAACGCCCCCGAGGAGGAGGAGGAGGAGGAGGAGGAGGTCTTTAGAGGCCTACGTTGTGTACGAGGTGGCGCAAAAAGGAGGTTTCCAGAGGTCCACATCTGGACGGACAGCACCAGGAYCCAAAGGGCTGTGTTGGAGGATCTTCTACGATGCAAAAAAAGAGGAGCATTCAAAACTGGAATGTGTYCACATTCACTGGGCAAGGCTTGAATGTTTCCTTTAGGAAAAAAACAATGTCTAGGCTCGTGGTCCACAGAAGACAAAAAAAATCATCCAAACTGTCCTCTGTAGCCTTCCGGGCATTGGGAACGGTAAATTCCCCCACAAGTTCTTCTCGATTTGTTTAAGGTGTTGGGTCTTCTTTTTTTATGGGCATTCGGTCCAGTTTAAAATTGGGCACTTTGTGTTGAGTCAATGCTGCCCCCCCCCCCCGTAAGTCATCATAAGTCTTCTCCAAAAATAGCAGAGAAATGGGGGCTTCGCAGTGAAGCCATGGTGGCAGGCGAGAGACACAGCATCGCGGGTCACGTTGGAGAAACAGTGTGTTCGGAGAAGGGCGAGTTGGAGAGTCGGTGGTCATGGACAGAACAAAGATGGCTGCCCGTGCATAGCCAAGGGTGCAAATGGTCCGTACACGTTTTGTCCAGGCACCGCCTCATGAAAATGAGTCTGTGTGATGCCCATAGTTGTGGCAACACACCCTTTACTTCTTCTTTGCAAAAGCATCATATTACTATTACATTATCTCGGTCTGCTTCTTTTTAAGCTTAACCTTCAGGTCCAGGGGTTTTACCCATCATTGTTTCTACAAAGACACAATTAGAGTATTTCTCCTGCAATCCTGGACAGAAACGGGCAACCCAGTCAGGAAAAAGGAGGAGAAAAAAAAGAAAAGAAAACCCCTCAAAAGACAAAACTGTTTTTTTTTAAAAAAAAAACAAAACAAAAAGACAGAAAATTACCCAGTATGAACCCTTGCTTTTTTCCACTTTGAGTTGATTTTTTCATTATTATTTTTTGTTGGTTTTCTTAAAAAAGAGAGAGAAAGACATGGCTGTAAAGAAGGCAACTCAAAGCTGAGTTGCATGTGATGTGCACATGTCTGTGAGTGTGTGTCTTTTGGACATCTAATGCGACCACAGCAGCGCATGCACACAGGGCCACGAAAGACACTGTAAGGTACTCACAGGCGCATGAATGTAAACAAGGGCCGCGGGCCCCATGCCACAACACCACACGCACAAAACACAAGGCAGAATAGGTTGGGAGGCTTTGCGAGGAGAGGTTGCCCAGGAAAGAAAAGTCAAAAGGAACGAGGAAAAAGGACAAGGAACCCCAGCAGGTAGTCTGTTTCGTTCTTTGTTTTGCGGTGGCTGTGTGTCTCCGTGAACACACAGCTTCCCAAGGCACTGCAGTTGTGGTAGTGCAGAGACTGAGAGGCAGGCAGCGGCTGGAGGGGTCTGCAGGGGACGATGGGCCTCGGGGTTGCCTCTCCCTCTCACTGGCTGTGGAAGTAGATGGGCTTCACTTTCCCAGAGAGGATCTTGGGCACTTGGACCGAGATGATCTCCGCCATCATTTCCGGGTAGTCCACGCTAACCATGTGGGACTTGACCAAGAGGTCGAAGGTGAACTGATGCAGCTCTCTTGCAATCTGTGAGAGAGAAAGAGAGGCACTGGCAAGTGGGACCTAGAAAGCTCTTCCTATTGGCAATTTAGACTAGAGGATGTAGCATTCTCAGTAAGAAAGAGCTCCATTGCCTCACCAAACTACAATTCCTATGATTCCATGGGATGTAGCCATTGGGGTTAAAGAGGAATTACAATGCTATATTTCAATAGTATGAAAGGACCCTGTGACCCTTGGGGCTCCCACCCATCCTTTCAGGTCTCTCATGGCATCAGAAATATTTATTTATTTATTTATTTATTTATTTGGGGGCTGGACATGGTGTTTATGTGATTGAGATCAATCTACTCCATAGCTAAAGCTTTCCTGAATCCTCCATCTTTTGAGATGGGACTGAATCGAGCCACAGGGAGAGGCAAATAATATTTTACCACCACCACCACCACCACCACTACTACTACTACACTGAGGTATAATACTGTCTGGGCTACTAACTAATTGTTTCCAAACCCTGTTTTGGAGGTGAAGGTGGAGAGGGAATGATGAAGGTTGGCATGTTTTCCTCCTTCTGCTCCCATCTCCCCAAATCACTTAATTTCGGAATGTTTCACTACACTTGCTCACAGTCTGAAAAAATATCTTTGGTGTGCTGAATTTTATGCCCTCTTTTTTACTTAAGGAATACTACAAGTGCAAATTTCCTACATTTTTTCCTTTCTTGGCTGCTACTGTTTTCAGTCTTCCTTACAAGTTTGTTGGTCCTTGGTCTTCCCCTTTCCCTGTGCCCCAAACTGAAGGAAAAGCTGAGCCAAAGCAGATCCTATATAAGATATGGCCCAAGGTTGTGAACTGTCTTTCTGCGTGTGTGGCCTCCCCTCCGCTCCACTTACAGGCTGCACTGAGTCGAGGAGCTTTGTGAGCTGGTAGAAGCGCCGAGAGCAGGATGTGGGATTCTTCCTCTTGCAAGCAATGATACGATCAAGTTCCTTGATGTAGTTCAGGCGCAGTTCATCAAAGAACTTCTGGTTCTTCAGACCATCCACTGGAACTGGAGAGTAAGAGGAGATAGGAGCAAATAGAAAACACAATCAGGGAAGAAAGGGGATGTTGCCCTCTGTTCTACCTCCTCTTCATGTAGCAACTGTGCGTGATGCAGAGCTATGCTATAGGAAACCCTCCAACTTACTGATAACTCCTTGAAGTCTCACCAGAAGGTCATAAATACTTCACAATGAGCTTGGAGAAGTATCAGGCTACCACAACATAGGTGTAGGGGTTCCTCATCGATCTCAGTGTTGATTGAGATATTGTCAGAGATTTCAGTGATCCAGCTTGCTAGCTGTGATGCTTAGAACAATCATCTGGGGTGGGCCTCAGAAAGAGGGAGGCCTTGGGTGATGTGGGGAGGAGGAAGGGACGGTGACACCCCAATGACTGTTAACGTTGGCCAAAGTAGACTTGAAATCTACTGGTTAGTCTCAATTATATCGCTTGGTCAATGGGTGACTCAAGGTGTAGGTAAAATCCAATGGGTTAATGGGTCTACTCCACTTGGGACTCACAATTGGCTCATCTAGAGTGCACCTGTTGAACCAACCATTGAGTCATGAGCCAACATATAAGCCAAAGGTCACAATATCTTGCTAGAAAGCCTCTTTTAGTATAGGTTGGGAAAAAGAGTTTTCAATGCACTTGGACCTCTACTAGTGGAAATTAGAGAAACATTTCCTCCCTCTTTCTCAGAAAGAAGCTAGTATGGAAGTGAGTCTGCTTACTAATACTGAAGAGGAGCAGAGCCTTCATGCAGAGGAATTCCTGGGGAGTGATCTGAAGCCATCCAAATTCTTGGGACAAGTGCCGCATCCTGACGCACTGGCTGTACATCCTGGATTTGTGCATCCGGTACCTAAGAGGCGGAGATAACAGCAGAGGCCAGGAAATAAGTTGAAAATGAGACCGAGGAATAATGCCACAGCTCAGTTGGGGAGGAAGAAATGTGGGTGTACTCTCAAAAGGAGCCTACGAGCCTTTTCCCTCCCTCAGTTGCCCAGCGCAACTAGAACATCCCTGGTAGAATTGACTTCCGTACTATATAGGACAATGCGTGCGTAACTGTTTATTCAAAGTAGGTATGCTCATTTTCTAAAAAGTCCTTCCTCCATGAACAGTTGCAATTCTCCTGTTCACTTCCTGATACAAAAAGGCTCCCTCAGGCCAAAAACAGCCCAGGATCTCCATCACTAAATTATGGAGAAGTTGGCCCTGGGTACGTTTTTCCAAATTGCATTTTATTGCAGTCTTTTTCCTCCCAATTTAATTTGTCAAATGCATTTTCTGCATCATGTCAGTGCTAGCTGCCTGTATGTCATTATGGTGCTCATCTGCAACTGAACCCTTGAATTTAGATCCACAGTGGCTTGAGAAAGTGATCGGGGCCTCAGCAAATTACCCTTACTACTTTTTTGCTTGTCTGTCAGGAAATCCCACCTTTCAGCCTCTTCAACAGCAAATTTTGATAGTTTCAGCCTCTTACCAGGACAGGTGTCGTGCCACCATGTGAGCAACCCAGATGCCCCATTAGCACCCCTATCCCATCGCCTCTGATGACCCAGAGCCTGTCCTGAGCCCCAGATCCTCCTCCACCGGCTGTTATCACAAACACCAGGTGGCAATAGGATGGATAATTGCAAGGAAGTGCTGGTGTCTCTCTGCTAACATTCCACATTGGTAAATTACTATCAGAACAGCACTTCTATTGTGCTGCTGTTGGCATACAACAGCCTCCTCTTGTTCCAGCCACAATTTATTCCTGCTTGTTTTACCGTTCACTGAGCTGTCTGAATATTCCCCAGCATAATTTATTCACCAGGTTAGGCAGAACGCTGCAGGGAAGAAGGAGAGCCACAAAACAGTGGATGTTCATGACAGACAGGTGCAAAGGCTAAGAGTTTGCTTTCGCAGACAGGTTCCCTCCATATGTTTCGAACCATTGCTTCTCTGAGTCCCAGCTAGAGTGGCAAATGATGGGAGTTGTAGTGCAAGATGTTAGGAGGATTGAGGAGAGCTGGATTATAAGGTTGGGTATATATATGTGTGTGTGTGTGTGTGTGTGTGTGTGTGTGTGTGTGTGTGTATAGGGTGAGATAAGTAGGCTGGAAATATTCCAAAGAAGCGGGAGTACATTTGGAAGAGCTTTGTGGAAATGGCCGGATCACATGGGTCCAAAATCTCACCTGGAATAATAATAGTGAGATTTGCTTTGGACAACTAAGGCCTCTTCTACACTGTTCTATATCCCAGGATCAGATCCCTGATTCTCTTCTTTAAACTGGATTATATGAGTCTCCAATGCCAGATAATCTGGGAGAAGCAGATAATCTGGGATCAGATCCTGGGGCAAAGTGGAAGAGGCCATAAAGGACGAGGAGAAAGATGGAGCTCAGATTCTGCATGATGGTATGGCAAATTTCTCTGAATAATATGCTAATTTTATTAATTAATAATATAATAAATTGTATTTACATATTACTTGTAAGCTGCTCTGAGTCCCCTTCTGGGTGAGAAGGGCAGCATATAAATGGTGTAAATAAAATAATAACAATAATAACAATAATAACAGTAATAATAATAATAATAATAATAATAATAATAATAATAATAATAATAATGTTTATTTATTACCTGCCTCTTGAGGCTGGAAAAAGGAGTTGCACACAGATTGCACTACATAACCATTGTGTCAAATTGAACTATTGCGCAACTCGAGACACACTCACTCAATGTGCAACCAAATGAACAACCAAAGAAAGACACACAAGAAAAAAGCAAAAAAAGCCAATGGGATTTTGGCCTGTATCAAGAGGAGCCTAGTGTCTAGATCTAGGGAAGTCATGCTCCCCATGCTCTATTCCACTTTGGTTAGACCACACCTGGAATCACATTGTGTCCAATTCTGGGCACCACAATTCAAGAGAGATATTGACTCTAAGCTGGAATGTGTCCAGAGGAGGGCGACTAAAATGATCAAGGGTCTGGAGAACAAGCCCATGAGGAGCGGCTTAAGGAGCTGGGCATGTTTAGCCTGAAGAAGAGAAGGCTGAGAGGAGATATGATAGCCATGTATAAATATGTGAGAGGAAGCCACAGGGAGGAGGAGGGAGCAAGCTGGTTTTCTGCTTCCTTGGAGACTAGGACGCAAGGGAACAATGGCTTCAAACTACAAGAGAGGAGATTCCATCTGAACATGAGGAAGAACTTCCTGACTGTGAGAGCCGTTCAGCAGTGGAACTCTCTGCCCCAGAGTGTGGTGGAGGCTCCTTCTTTGGAGGCTTTTTAAACAGAGGCTGGATGGCCATCTGTCAGGGGTGATTTGAATGCAATATTCCTGCTTCTTGGCAGAATGGGGTTGGACTGGATGGCCAACCAGGTCTCTTCCAACTCTAGGATTCTAGGATTCTACAGCTGGATGTGTCTCTGATCCATACTTCAAAGTATGGAATGGTTCAATGAGGCAGACTCAGGGGCTTTGCAGTAGGTCAGGGAGAAGGTCTTTGGGCACTGCGAAAAAAGGAAGGGCATGGCAGTCCCAGTGGCTGCAAAAAGGACACATGCATGCAACGGGCTTCAGTGTGTCTCACACAGATTGCAAGGGAATTTACCAAAGAATACAACACCAACCCGATTCCAGGTTATCAAACACAGAGCTAGAACCTCCCTGCTCTTTCCAAAAATGGAGGCCGCTGCTATCTGTCCAACCCCATTCAGCTGACTCTGCCCTTTGGTTGTGCCTTGGCTGGAATTCTGAGAAGTGGCCTTATCTCTGCTGACAGATAACATCTCAATGCTCAGAAACCTAGCAGCAGCTTTCATAAGGAGAAAGGAGGCTTTGGTATGCCACAGACCGGAGCAGAAAAGGGGACGGCACCCGCAGCTGTCAGTGTTTGGTGGGGCCTGATTTACAGCTTGCCAAATTAACCTCCATGGAATGATGAGGCCATTGCTCATCTCGGACCGGTGCCATCCGCTTTGGCCTGCAGCCAGACACGCTCTTTGCAAAGTGCTCCTTTCATTTTTACGAGTGGCAATGCATACACATCCTGTTCTCTAGCCACGGGCTCTGGAGGGGCTTGGCGTACCCTCCCAGGACAGGAGAGAGAGAGAGAGGCCCCTGACATTTTATGACTGCGAAGCAGCGGCAGAGAGATTTCAGGAATCTGCAGCCAGACACGCTCTTTGCAAAGTGCTCCTTTCATTTTTACGAGTGGCAATGCATACACATCCTGTTCTCTAGCCACGGGCTCTGGAGGGGCTTGGCGTACCCTCCCAGGACAGGAGAGAGAGAGAGAGGCCCCTGACATTTTATGACTGCGAAGCAGCGGCAGAGAGATTTCAGGAATAGGTTGTTTTCAACTGTGTTGCACAAAAGCGACTGGAAAGAGCAGTGGCTCCGATCCTTGCTTGAGGGACGGACCCAGAAGGTGTTATTGGGTGACACCTGTTCTGCCCCACAACCGTTGCTGTGTGGAGTCCCACAGGGTTCAATCCTGTCCCTGATGTTATTTAACATCTACATGAAGCCGCTGGGGGGAAATTGGAGTTTCGGAGTAAGGTGTTATCTGTACGCAGATAACGTCAAATCTGTCACTCCTTCCTATCTCCTTCACCAAGGAGGCTGTCCAAGTCCTTGAACCGGTGCTTGGCTGCTGTGTGGGATGATGAGCACAAATTGAAATTGAATCCAGACAAGACAGAGGTCCTCCTGGTCAGGTCAAGGCCGAACAGGGTATAGGGTTACAGCCTGTGTTAGAGGGGTTGCACTCCCCCTGAAGTCACAGGTCCGCAGTTTGGGAGTCCTCCTGGACTCATTACCTACGCTTGAGGCTCAGGTATTGGCGGTGGCCGGGAGGGCCGTTGCACAATCAAGACTTGTGCGCCAACTGCGACCATACCTAGCGAAGGCGGATCTGGCCAGGATGGTCCATGCCTTAGTCACCTCCAGATTGGACTTACTGTAATGCACTCTACGTGGGGCTGCCCTTGAAAATGGCTTGGAAATCCAAACTGTTCACTGGATAGCAGCCAGATGGCTCACCAGCGTCATACAGAGGGAGCATTAACAACTGTTCCCCCCGTTGTGTCAGCCTCACACTGGCTTCCGTTTCCAGTGCTGAGCAGCACATTCAGGATTGCTTGGTTTTGACACTACGAAACCCCTAATATGGTTTCTGGGCCCTCTACGTCCCCAACCTCGGAGTCTAAGATCTTCTGGGGAGGCCCTGCTCTCTCGGTCCCACTATGCGGCTGGCGGGACGAGGAGCAGGGCCTTCTCGGTGGTGGCCCCTCACCTGTGGAATTCACTCCCCAGGGAAATTAGATCAGTGACATCCCGCCTTTCCTTCAGGAAAAAATTGAAAACTTGGATTCGGGACCAGGCATTTGGACATTCTAGCAGCTAAAGAAAGGACTTTGACGATGGACAGGAATTGACTAAGTGGAATGGAATTATGGAACTCTGAAAGATGAATGCTGAGCATAAGATTAGTTTTATTGATTGTGTTATGTACCAATTGTTTTTAACTTGATAATTGTTTTAACTGCTGTTTGTATGTATGTGTATCTTGTATAGGCATCGAATTGTGCCTTTTTGTAAGCCGCCCTAAGACCCCCCCCCCGGGGGGGTTGAGAAGGGCGGGGTAGAAGTATCAGAAATAAATAAATAAATAAAAGGGAAAGCAAAGAAGCTACTGGAGGGCGCTTCCAGACATACCGAAAACCCGCACGGAGACGGGTTAAAATAACTTGCTTCTACATGGCTTCTAGTCCCCACCCCCAACCCAAATACCAGGTTTTCCCTGCTGCTACCCTAAGTCAAAGCCCCCCATTTGGACCCACAACTTACCAAAGAGACTTTCCGTAAGGCCTGGATTTGTTGAGGTGTTTAATCAATGTGGAATGAACTGGTAAAACTCAGTTTACTCCACATTAATTCACTTTAACCGGAGGCGTCTCGGATTAAAGGCCTGCCTGGAAGAGTCCTGAATGAACATCCTGTTATGGAATATTTCTCCTTTCGTGACCCCTTGGAGATGCCCGTTCTCCCCCTGCAAACATGTGTCATAAAAGTGTTATTCTTAGTCCAGCCCATTATCGCCGAAATGAAGTGAGAGTGGAAAGTTGGCAGTGGCAAACGGCGCACACATGTGAGGCCTCTTGTCCCGTCTCACTACCATAAGAAGGATCGTGCGAGAGAAGCAGGATCCAACGGAAACCCTTATAGGAAGAGGCAAGCCTAATAGGGGTTGGCTGGATGAGACTGAAGACACAACCACACACGGTAGGAATGGACTGCACCTCGTTCAAGTGGCAATGAAAGTACATCCAAACTCTGCTTAAAGAGCAACAAAGCAGGAGAGACCACCATCCTCTGAGGCAGTTGGTACAACTGCCAATTGCTCTTACCACCAGTTTAGGTGGAATCTCTGTAATCTGAAGCCACTGCTTCGTGTTCTAGTCTCTGCAGAAGCAGAAGAAAAGCTGCTACATGATGTTCCTTCAGAAAAATATGACTCTATCACAACATTTGTCGGTATTCTCTTCTCCAGGTTACTGTGACCATCTCCCTAAGTTGGTTACCAGACCTCTACATATCTTGGCACCCTTCTCTGGGCAGCTTCCAGCTTGTTCCTATTCTTTTTTTGCCCATAACTAGCCACCACGTTCCAGTTGAGGTTTGCCTAAAGCACAAACACTTCACCTGGGTATTATGCTCATATCAGAATTGTATGGGCTTCCTAGAATCCTAGAATCAAAGAGTTGGAAGAGACCTCCTGGGCCATTCAGTCCAACCCCATTCTGCCAAGAAGCAGGAATATTGCATTCAAATCACCCCTGACAGATGGCCATCCAGCCTCTCTTTAAAAGCTTCCAAAGAAGGATCCTCCACCACCCTCTGAGGCAGAGAGTTCCACTGCTGAATGGCTCTCACAGTCAGGAAGTTCTTCCTCGTGTTCAGATGGAATCTCCTCTCTTGCAGTTTGAAGCCCTTGTTCCATTGCGTCTTAGCCTCCAGGGAAGCAGAAAACAAGCTTGCTCCCTCCTCCTCCCTGTGGCTTCCTCTCACATATTTATTATACATGGCTATCATATCTCCTCTCAGGCTTCTCTTCTTCAGGCTAAACATGCCCAGCTCTTTAAGCCACTCCTCATAGGGCTTGTTCTCCAGAACCTTGATCATTTGAGTCACCCTCCTCTGGACACATTCCAGCTTAGAGTCAATATCTCCCTTGAATTGTGGTGCCCAGAATTGGACACAATCCTTGGCCATCTCATCACACTGTGGACTGATTTCATGAAGACTGCACTTTTGCTCAAAGGGAACGGTGCCAATGGGAAAGGAGTAGGCAGAGCAAAGACTGGATCAACCTGTACACGGATCTTGGGTTCTGAGAACGGACACCTCAGCTGGGCAAAGGCCAGGAAGAGAGGCCAACAACACATAAACAATATAGTGATGAGAAAGGAAGCTACAGCTGGAATGGGGATTCCCTGCAGTGGATAACACAACATTTGTACAAACCAGCAACACTGTTAATCAGGGATGCTGTTGCTCAATAGGTCCCAACCTTTGGGTTTCAGTATTTTGGACTTCGGAATGCATGGTCAAAGGATATGCTGGCCAGATGTCCGGGAACAGAAGTCCCAAACAGCTCTAATGGTTTTACGTTTCAGGAGAGTAAATTTCAATTGAACTTTAGGAAGAGCATCTTGATGGTAAGTGCAGTTTGGTATTGGACTCAATGACCTAGGGCGGTGGAACAGTCTCCTTCTCTGGACATTTCCCAAACAATGCTGGACAGCTCCTTGCTGAGGATGTTCTAGCTCAAGGGTTCTCAGACTTTTTCAGCCACGGAGCCCTTTTTGAAGCAAAAGTTTCTCGTGGAGCCCCAAGAAATGTCCATATTATATATTATATAATATATATATATTATTAAATGTTTATATAGTATTATAATTTAGTGTGGAGACCCTCAGTTTGCTTCACAGAGCCCTAAGGGCTCCATGGAGCACAGTTTGGGAACTGCTGCTCTAGCTGGACACCCTGCATTAAGCTGGAAGTTATACACACACACACACACATATCTATATATAATTATATTAAGAAATGTTTATATATTACATATTATATAATATATAGAATGTGTGTGTATATATATGTTTATATAGTATCATAATTGAGTGCGGAGCCACTTGGTTAGCTTCACAGAGCCCGAAGGTCTCCATGGAGCACAGTTTGAGAACTGCTGCTCTAGCTGGACACCCTTGCATTGAACAATGGCTAGTGGGGCCCCTTCCAACTCTATTGTTTCAAGGCCAATATCCCAGAGTCAGAAGAGACACATGACAAAGAAAACCAGAACTCACTCATTGAAGACCAAATCCGGTGCGAAGTAGAGCATCCGGGAGTTGACATTGGTGAAGGATCTCCATCCCATGGCAAAAATCATCAGGCCCATCCAGGAATACTGAATGATTGCCATTTGGTCGTCCACGTGCAGATTGCGGAATCCTAGGAAAAAGTGGCACAAGAAAAGGTTGGTCATGTGGAGTAAGAGATGACACCATCACCACCACCACCATCATCATTAGAAATTCCATCCCTTCTTTCCTGCTGTTTGCCTAGTCTCATCTTGAGCTGGAATTCCCTCTCTGATAGAATAATAACAATAATAATAATACATGATGATGATGATGACCCAGATAAGTTTTTAATCTGTTCACAAAACCAGTGGGAGGGAGGAGTCACTTTTTTTTCATTCCCAAAACCCAACTTTCGTAATGATGTGTCTACCAACTGGCAAGCCACGGAGCCAAGAATGCCTTTGCCATTTGCCATCATGCAAAGCACGCAAAGCGGCCCATTTGTTCCCTCAACCCAACAACAGTCGTAAATCTCAATGGGCAAAATAAATCTGCCTTGCAATTCTCCGAGTTTGATATCCTGATCTTTTCTGTATGGAACGCCTAGGCTTGAAGCAACTGCTGGACCTCATCCAGGGACATTCCTTTCCAGAATCGGATCTTCTGCAACCAAGATGTCCACAGCTAGGGCAGAGCATTCTGGGGAAAAAGGGGTGGCATTGCTCACATTGGGTCAACCCAGTGTTCCTTGTCAAGATAACTCTCAATTAATTCTTCTGAAGACCCAATGATGCTTGGACTCAATATATGAAACAGATAGAGAGCTTTGGAGCATCCCTGGATCCTGTTACAGTGCCAAATTTAGGACAACTCTGTAAAGCTATTCCGATGAGAAGACCACATCAAAGAACTGCAAAATTAAAAGACTTCCAGATTGGGTTGTTTCCTCTTTACGTCACACAAATTGGCTATGCCAGGCAGAGGACTTTACCCAAACATCTGAAGAGACAGCATGTTTTATTTTATTTAAGACTTTCTGTAAAGTCAAAATTAATAATCAAAATCCCAAAATGGCAATGCATCTGGTAAGAAAGAGTTCACGCACACCCACCATCGAGGCTGAGATGAAAACATGACTACAAAGGAGACCCTCCCAGGGCTATCTACCCAAGTATATTTGGTTGGCAACTTACATACATGGCTTTTAAGAACACAATAACTCTTCAGAATCAACCTAAAGGTCAATAGACTAAAGTAACCCCATTGAAGGTGTGCCGTTACACCCAGACGCTTTATAAAAAACAAACTATGATGTGCTGTCCCTATGTCTGGGCAAACTGCTGGGGCTTTCTGAAGAAAATTGAGATAATCAGCAATTGAATCTATTGCGAGTTCTGAACATCAAAAAGGATATTTATTTCATAGTCTTGCAGACTTGGTACAGTTTTGTCAAGGTTGCAATCAAACAGTCAATAGATTAAATCAAACAGATATTCCTTCTCCACCAGTTGCTGAGTCAGCCTTCTCCAAGAGGCAAAGGGTCCAGGAATCCCTCACCCTAATCCAGAGCCCTTATCTATAGAAAGAACCAATCTTTCCCTAACTATTAGGGCTGGGCGGTTTCGTTTTGTAATTTCGTAATTCGTTAAAAATTCGTTATTTTTTTAAATAACGAAGCGATAACGAGCCATTCAGGAGCATCTAAAAAATGAAACGAATTTTTTAATTCGTTTCGTAATTGCTTCGGATTCATTTTGTATTCGTTTCGTTATTGTTTCGAAATCGTTTCGTTATTATTTCCGCATGTCTGGGGCAAGTTTTATAGCTGTTGTTTGTTTAATCAGTGAAAAAAATTATAAATATCACACCAACAGTCAACAACAGAGGGAGAGGGAAGCTTCAGAAGTTCCCCCTGTCCCATTTGGAGGGTTTTTAGCGTATTGCGCGGTCGCGTCCGCCATTAACGAATCGATTCGTAATTGTTTCGTAATTATTTTACGAATTGCGAAATTTCGTAAATATCGAACTTTTTTACAGAAAAATTTCGGAATTCTTTTAAAAATCGAAACACAAAAACCCCCCAAAAACGAATCGATTTTAGAAACAAATTTTTCTGTTGTTACCCAGGCCTACTAACTATCTAGGCTCCAGACTAGCCTTGGAGAAAAGCAATGCAGCCTATCTCCCTATAAACTCTATAAAACTCAATTCTATTCTATCTATGACTCAATTCTATTCTATCTATGACTCAGTTTAACTTCTCTGAATTCTGGACTATGATATCTCAATTATACTTATCTCAGTTCTCAGTTGTTCTCAATTAAGCTTACCTAACTATAACTCAATTGTTTCTGCGGTGTTTTTTTCAGAGCGACCTTTTCTTGGCTTCCAGCACATCCAATTGCTTCTTTAGAACTGAATAGGGCAGAGAGATTCCGAAATGGAAACTCTCCCCAGGAGGAAGGGCAGGCTCTAAGAGCTTCTTCCTAGGCCAATCACTGCAAAGAGTTTGCAGGCTGGCCTCTTCCCGCCTTTGGCTGCAAACTAACAGGAGCGGGACGCAGGGAGCATACAACGCCCTTGTTGTCCCAACTCCACTGGCTGCCGATTTGCTACCGGGCCCAATTTAAGGTGCTGGTGTTATCCTACAAAGCCCTAAACGGTTCCGGCCCAAAATACCTTTCGGACCGCATCTTGGCCTATGAGCCCACGAGGACCTTGAGATCGTCTGGGGAGGCCCTTCTCTCGATCCCGCCTGCCTCACAGGCACGTCTGGCGGGGACGAGAGAGAGGGCCTTCTCAGTGGTGGCCCCCCGGCTGTGGAACACCCTCCCTGTTGACATCAGACAGGCGCCCTCTCTTATGGCTTTCCGGAAGAGCCTAAAGACCTGGCTCTTCGAGAGGGCATTTAACTAGTGCCAGACTAACTGATAATGACAACCGGACTGGAATATGGATTATGAGACTGGTAGGCTCCTATGTTGTGACGGTGCGGATTAGTTAGTATAATTTAGATTGATTGTGTAATTATGGCTTGTTGATGTATTGTGTGTTTTTTGTAAAATGTTTTTATATGTTGTACACCGCCGCGAGTCGCCCTAGGGCTGAGAGCGGCGGTCAACAAATGCATTAAATAAATAAATAAAAATAAAATAAACTCCAGGCCCTGCAAGGCTACAGCAGCTTCCAAGAGAAAGGCAAGGGGCAGCCAATTTAAGCAACCAAAAAAGCAATATAAACCAGTCTCCTGGGAGACAGAACAGAAGGGCTCCTTAGGGCTTCAAATGTGATGGCCTTCATCTTGAATTCAGAATGGGATTCGATCAGGGCCAATATGGATTTGCCTCTCTGATATTACGGGTCCTGGTTTGTCTCAGATCTGGCCAGCGTTGTAATTTCACTTTCTTTTGCATTCATCCAAGTTCTCAAAAGGCTCAAAACATCAATTCTATTGATTCCCACCACACATGTGCATACCATCCTTTGCTGAAACCACAGTGCCAACAAGTTGGGCTTTTACCGTTAATCATGTTTGATAACTGTGCTGGGGTACAATACTATTTCCATAAGAATTTCCTTTCCATTTCTTTCAATTTCTCTATCTTGATTTTCCTAGTGGGAAAAAATAGGGTTCTGGATCATGTCAAAATTGTATAACACTAAGGTTTCTATTGCATAATATGCAATATTATGCATCAAAGAATATCTCAATTTGCAGAAGGGCTGGTTGCTCCAGAGATGCCACTTAACAAAGCTATTGCGAAAGTGCAACTTTTGTGGCAATTATATTACCTAAATATAATATTCAGACAAGGTTCTGGTCAGACTGACCAACAGCCGACAATCCACCCCACTACCCCCAAAGAGATAAGAACTGTACATGGGATAAAGTTTCTCACATGTGTTCAGCTTCAGTGATTTTTTTTCAGAAGTTGGTTTTGTTTTGCTTTGTTTTTTTGCAGCGGGAATGTATTCATCAAAGCAGACCTATGTTAAAAGTCTTGCCAAATAACCACAAATATTTATTGCATTTTCCAAAGACCCCGAAGCTGGACTTCACAGTCGTCCACCCCAAAAACTGTCCCACTCATACAGCAGAACAAAGCAGAGAAATATCTCAAGATGCTCAAAAGATTGTTGTTTATGGGAAAAATAGTAATGACGGGTGTAAATAAATAAAGCGACCATCTTTGGTGCATCTGGAGACGTCTTTTGTGGGTTGTTCCTAGGTTTCGGCTTCTTCTAGTCACAGAGCAGCCATGAGGCTTTCATCTGGACTCCAGAATAGACACGTTTCATAAACACATCCCAAAACAGGCATGAAAAGATGCCCTATTAATTGTGTACTAGAAAAAAATGGCAGAATTTGTATGCACATGGTCCTCAATCCTAAGTATCCACAGGAAAACCTACTAGGGAAGGAAAAAAATATCCCCAAATATTAATGCAACTTTTATGATTTTCACCCATGTTTGCACTAAGACAAAGCCATTTGGGATGGACCAGTTTCCTCCTAGAGTTGGGCATCCATGAGACTGCTGTAGCTTAATACAGAACGTCTGTTTTGGAGGGATTTATTCCAAACACCAGACTTTTTCGGGACTGCCTCACATCCATTGTTTTGTGGACGCGATTCTTACGCATAGTTTGTTTTCTCTTGACAATTACTTTAATGACAAATAATGGAAAGGAATGTCGCTCTAATGGCAACTAATGGAACACAATCAATTAAAGGGGTATGGGGTAGAGTAATGTGGAAAAAAGTGCCTTTGACATGTTTTGCATAATAAATGGCAGACAACGGAGGCATTGGGAAGGGGAGCCGAGAAGAGCAAAACCAGTCTCACTTATTAGCATGGACCAAAACCTCAAAGCAAAACCAAAGATGCAAGAAAGGAAACCAAAAGGTTACCAGACAACTCAAAGTGAAAGAAAAAAAGAGAGGTGAACATCCACACTATAGGATTAGACAGGTTTCGGTGGTGACCAGGGGAGCATTTGCACAGCTAAAGCTTGTGCGCCAGCTGCGCCCGTACCTTGGGAAGTCTGACTTGGCCACGGTAGTCCACACTCTGGTTACATCCCGTTTAGACTACTGCAACGCTCTCTACGTGGGGTTGCCTTTGAAGACGGCTCGGAAGCTCCAATTAGTCCAACGGTCGGCAGCCATGATTACTAACAGGAGCGGAGCGCAGGGAGCATACAACCCCCCTGTTGCGCCAACTCCACTGGCTACCGATCTGCTACTGGGCTGAATTCAAAGTGCTGGCGTTGGCCTTTAAAGCCCTAAACGGTTCCGGCCCAAGCTACCTATCCGACCGCATCTCTGCCTATGAACCCACCAGGACTTTGAGATCTTCCACCTGCTCTCGATCCCGCCTGCTTCTCAAGCTTGGCTGGCGGGGACGAGAGATAAGGCCTTCTCGGTGGTGGCTCCTCGGCTGTGGAACGCCCTTCCTACGGACATTAGACTAGCACCATCTCTAATGGTATTCCGCAAAAAAGTGAAGACCTGGCTGTTTGAGCAGGCGTTCCAATAATTAGTGCAATGATTGGTTAATGAACACTGGAATGGAACAATGGATGACGAATCTGGAACATGTTTTTGATGACGAGACGACAGTGAATGGGTATTGTAGTAACTGTTTATTAATTGTGTAATGTGTTAGGTTGTTACTGTTTCTATACTGTAGCACTGAATTTTTGCTGTTCGGATTTGTTGTGAACCGCTGTGAGTCGCCTTCGGGCTGAGAACAGCGGTATATAAGTAAGGTAAGGTAAATAAATATAATTCCATCTTAATACATAGGTTTTGTTCTATGGCATCCTGTGATTTGAAGTTCAGGGAAGAGGACTTAAAATAGTCCTCAGCCAGAGAGCTCAGCCAGTGATTCCATAATATATCATTATGAGAGTTAAAGTGGAATCATAGTGCTGCAATTGTGTAGTGTGAATGGGTCTAGAGAGAGGGGTTGTCAGAATTGGCATTGAAGCTAGAAGAACCACAGTTACTGGGAATTGTGGGAATCTAAGCTGAATTTCCAAGCTTAGCCCAAGCAGAAACATCTTCACAATGAAGCTGGACAGATTGGTCATGGAGGTCTTCAGGCCTATCTTCTCCATCCCAAGTTGTAACAAGAGGAAATGGGCCTGAAGATGTCATTGTGAAGTTGTTTCATCTTAATGAAGAAAAATCTTCTCAACCAACTTCATAATATAACAACTTGGGATAGACAAGATTAGGCTTGAAGATCTCCATGAAAAATATGCCCACCTTCATTGGGAAGATGTTTCTTCACAATGAAGAAATACCTTCTGAATGTAACAACTTCCAACGTAATGTAGGAGATGGGCCTGAATACATATCTCCAGCTTTATTGTGAAGATGTTTCATCACAATGACAAAACATCTTCATAATGTAACAACTTCCAATGTAAGAATTTGGGATGGAGAAGTTGGGCTTGAAGGCCTCCATGAAAAAATCTGTTAAGCTCCATTGTGAAGGCATCTCTTCACAATGTAACAACTTCCAACGGAACTACCTGGAATTGACAATATGGGCCTGAAGGCCTCCATGAAAAATCTGTCGAGCTTCATTGTGAAGGTGTCTCTTCACAAAGATGAAATATCTTCACAACATAGCAACTTTCAATGTAACCACTTTGGATGGAGAAGATGGGCTTGATGGCCTCCATGAAAAATCTGTCTATCATCATTATGAAGGCATCTCTTCACAATGTAACAACTTCCAACGGAACTACCTGGAATTGACAATATGGGCCTGAAGGCCTCCATGAAAAATCTGTCGAGCTTCATTGTGAAGGTGTCTCTTCACAAATATGAAATACCTTTACAACATAACAACTTTTAATGTAATCACTCTGGATGGAGAAGATGGGCTTGAAGGCCTCCATGAAAAATCTGTTGAGCTTCATTGTGAAGGTGTCTCTTCACAAATATGAAATACCTTCACAACAAAACAACTTTCAATGTAATCACTCTGGATGGAGAAGATGGGCTTGAAGGCCTCCATGAAAAATCTGTTGAGCTTCATTGTGAAGGTGTCTCTTCACCATGTAAAAACTTCCAACGGAACTACTTGGAGTGGACAATATGGGCCTGAAGGCCTCCATGAAAAATCTGTCAAACTTCATTGAGAAGGTGTCTTTTCACAATGAAGAAATACCTTCAGAATGTAACAGCTTCTTACATAGCCACTTGGGACGGAGGAGATGTGCCTGAAGGCCTCTTCCTCGAGATGTTCCTTACCTGGCAGAGCCTTTGCCCATTTCACTACATGGACCAGCTGTCGTTCTCCGAGTTCATTCAGACTGGTCAGGAGGGCAGCGAAGGAGTCCGGCTGGTTGTTGTCGTGGCCGGCGCACACCACCCCTGGCTCGATGGCCTCCAGGACGTTGAGGAAGATGGGCTGGCACTCCAGGCCTTCGATGCGAGTCATGGACATCTTGGGCACCTGCTCCTCTGTGGGGCTGGAGGGCCCGGCTCCCTCGGATTCTTCTTGCATCTTCAGGTTGCCCAGCTTCTTCAACTTGCGGGCTGCAGAGGGGGAAGGGAAGAAAGAACAAAATGGTGATGGTGGCTGAAGTGATACTTCCCTTTGAGTGGAAAAGAAGGGTTCAACCCACAGTCACATAACACAGCATTGTTTTGGTTTCTAGGTCTGTTCCTGGGGTTATTTGGGGCTCTGATTCAGATAGACCGCATCAACTCTAGTTTCTTTGATACAGGTGTGCAGAAGGTAACTGGTATATGGTATATGTTCTCTATCTCAAAAACTAGAGGGGAAAACTGGTGTCATTTTTGGAATCAGCAGGTCAAATATACCCAGAAAAGGGGCTAACGTTTAAGGCAACTAAATGTGTACTATTGTGTGCAAAAAAAATATTCAGAATTTTGTTTTTGCACAGAATTTATTTTCTGTTCACAAAGTGTTTCCCATGGAGGAAATTGCATTCTCTATCATGGAAATATGTAGAAAACATGTAGGGGGAATCTTATATGCAACTAGCTGTCGCTTGCCATGCGTTGCTGTGGCCCAGTCTGTATCTATGTTCTTTGTGTGTATGTATATGTGTGTTTGCGTATATATATGTGATTTTGCACATGCGTTGTAATGTATTTTTTTGCTTTTTAAGTCTCTTCTGCTGTGTTTTTCAGTGTTTTTATGAGTGATGGTCATTGGTCTGATAGGAGTATTGTGTCCAAATTTGGTGTCAATTCCTCCCGTTGTTTTTTGAGTTCTGTTAATCCCACAAATGAACATTACATTTTTATTTATATGGATATGTCTCTTTTTCCAAGGTATTTTGTAATGTTTGAATATTGGGTGGGGTGGGGGGGGGGGTGGTGGTGGTGGTGGTGAGAAAGTGTTCTGGTTTCCCCATAGAGTGGCCAGCATTGTCCCTTAGGCATTGAAATCTCATCCAAATCTATCAACATTATTTCAAATCTATATGAATAAAAATGTAATGTTCGTTTGTGGGATTAGCATAACTCAAAAACCACTGGGCGAATTGACACCAAATTTGGACACAAGACTCCTACTAACCAAAGGAGTGACCATCACTAAAAAAAATGATTTTGTCATTTGGGAGTTGTAATTGCTGGAATTTATAGATCACCTACAATCAAAGAACATTCAGAAATTCACCAACAATTGAACCAAACTTGGCACACAAGACTCCCATGACCAACAGTAAACACTAGAAGGGTTTGGTGGGCCTTGAGTTTTGGAGTTGTAGTTCACTTACATTCAGAGAGCGCTGTGGGAATTTTAGTTGCTAGGATTTATAGTTCACCTACAATCAGAGAACATTTTGAACACCAATGATGGAATTGTGCCTTCAACATGTTTTGTATAATAAATTGCAGACAACGGAGGCATTGGGAAGGGGAGCCCAGAAGAGCAAAACCAGTCTCACTTATTAGCACGAACCACACACAGGACTCCCATAACTAACAGAAAATACTGGAAGGGTTTGGTGGGTGTGGAGTTTTGGAGTTGTAGTTCATCTACATCCAGAGAGCACTGTGGACTCAAACAATGAATGATCTAGACCAAACTTGGCACGAATATTCCATATGCCCAAATATGAACACAGATGGAGTTTGGGGGAAAACAGACTTGACATTTGGGAGTTGTAGTTACTGGGATTTCTTGTTCATCTACAATCGAAGAACATTCTGAACCCCACCAATGAGAGAATTGGGCCAAACTTTCCACACAGAACCCCCATGACCTAGAGAAAATACTGTGTTTTGTGGTGGTCTTTGGCAACCCTTCTGACACCCCCTAGCAACCCCCAGGGTCCCGACCTCCAGGTTGAGAAATGCTGCCTGAAGGCCATCCAGTCCAACTCCCTTCACCAGGGCAAGAAAACATAGTCAATGCCCTCGTGACAAAGAGCCATCCAGCCATAGATATTAGGGCTGGGCGGTTTCGTTTCGTTAATTCGTAATTCGTTAAAAATTCGTTATTTTTTGTTAACGAAGCGATAACGAACCATTCTGGAGCAACTTAAAAACGAAACGAATTTTTCAATTCGTTTCGTAAATGCTTCGTATTTCGTTATGTATTCGTTTCGTTATTGGTTTGAGGTCGTTTCATTATTATTTCCGCATGTCTGGGGCAAGTTTTATAGTTGTTTTTTGTTTAATTAGTGAAAAAAAATTATAATATCACACCAACAGTCAACAACAGAGGGAGAGGGAAGCTTCAGAAGTTTTTTTAGCGTATTGCGCGATCGCGGCCGCCATTAACGAATCGATTCGTTATTGTTTCGTTATTGTTTTGTAATTTTTTTACCATTTACGAAATTTCGTAAATATTGAACTTTTTTTAAGGAAAATTTCGGAATTCTTTTAAATATCGAAACGCAAAAAACCCCAAAAAACGAATCGAATTTAGAAACAAATTTTTCCGTTGCTACCCAGGCCTAATAGATATCGATAGATATATCTGATTCACATGCACACACACAGAGACAGACATATATGATACTATATATGACTGATATAGTATCATAGATTTGAAAGGGACCCCTAGAGAAGGACAATTATATGTTGCATGTTCCAGAGGAGGCAAACCAGACAATCTCTATACAACAACATTGACAAAGAAACAACAAGAAATGCTGTTTACCCACAAGCAGAAAGAATTACATTAGAAATCAACACTTTCTCATTACTTTATTTTCCAGATCACCAGACTGGGACACAGCAACGCATGGAAAGGAACGGCTAGTATAGAGTAAAAATTCAATTTTATTACATTGCCCTCTCCTAACACAGATGCGATGGGTCACTTCTTGAACCATATATGCATTAGATCAGTGTTTCTCAACCTGGGGGTTGGGACCCCTGAGGGGGTCGTGGGGGGTGTCAGAAGGGTCACCAAAGACTATCAGAAAAAAGTATTTTCTGTTGGTCATGGGGGTTCTGTGTGGGAAGTTTGGCCCAATTCTACCGTTAGTAGGGTTCAGATTGTTCTTTGATTGTAGTGAACTATAAATCCCAGCAACTACAACTCCCAAATGACAAATCTATTTTCCCCAAACTCCACCAGTGTTCACATTTGGGCATATTATTATTCGTGCCAAGTTTGGTCCAGATCTATCATTGTTTGAGTCTACAATACTCTCTGGATGGAGGTGAACTACAACTCCAAAACTCAAGGTCAATGCCCACCAAACCCTTCCAGTATTTTCTGTTGGTCATGGGAGTTCTGTGTGCCAAGACTGGTTCAATTCCATCGTTGGTGGAGTTCAGAATGCTCTTTGATTGTAGGTGAACTATAAATCCCAGCAACTACAACTCCCAACCCCACCAGTATTAAAATTTGGGCGTATTAGATATTTGTGCCAAATTTGGTCCAGTGATTGAAAATACATCCTGCAGATCGGATATTTGCATGACGATTCATAACTAGTGAAATTGCTGTTATGAAGCAGCAACGAAAATTCAGTTCTTGTGGGTTTTTCGGGCTATATGGCCATGTTCTAGAGGCATTTCTCCTGACGTTTCGCCTGCATCTATGGCAAGCTTCCTCAGACCTCTGAGATGCTTGCCATAGATGCAGGCGAAACGTCAGGAGAAATGCCTCTAGAACATGGCCATATAGCCCGAAAAAACCCACAAAGAACTGAGTGATTCCGGCCATGAAAGCCTTCGACAATATTTATTTATTTATTTATTTATTTCATTTGTTGACCGCCGCTCTCAGCCCTGGGGCGACTCGCGGCGGTGTACAACATATAAAAACAGTCTACAAAACATACAATATATCAACAACCAAATTACACATTAATCTAAATCACACTAATAAATCCGCGCCATCACAACATGGAATCATAGCCAATCTCATAATCCATAGTCCGTTCCAATGTCATTACCAGATTCGTGTGGCTCTCAATTAAATGCCTTCTCGAATAGCCAGGTCTTTAGGCTCTTACGAAAAGCCATCAGGGAGGGCGCCTGTCTGATGTTAACAGGGAGGGCGTTCCACAGCCGGGGGGCCACCACTGAGAAGGCCCTCTCTCTCGTCCCCGCCAGACGTGCCTGTGAGGCGGGCGGGATCGAGAGAAGGGCCTCCCCAGAATACATAGCAACGAAAATAATTTTATGGTTGGGGGGTCACCACAACATGAAGAACTGTGTTAAGGGGTCGCGGCATTCGGAAGGTTGAGAAACACTGCATTAGGTGATGATGATGATAATAATACTGGAAATCTACAAGATGGGTTAGAACTCTGGGAACCCAAACAGCATCCAAGGTGCACAGGGCGTCCCATCTTCCGCTTTAAAGGGGATGTAAACAGATCTCTTCTCAGCAGACAGCAACCTTCACATCCCGAGCCCAGCATCCCATTACATAAGCAACCATGAACAAAATACGAGGGAGCCTGTGATTGAGACTCCACAATTCCCTCCAAAACAGCCTGTTTATTGCCTGTATTCCTTTATTATTTATATTCATTTCACGGCAGCTGCGGTAATAATTGGCAGGCACGTTGCCGCGAAGCCTGCAGAGCCGGACTTGATTTCTCACAGCAGTAAACACACCCCTCCAGCATTTTACATTTGCAGGGATGAAAAGCAAGAGCAAGCAACATCCAAGTTTACAAAGATGCTCTGAGTTATTAATGGAAAGGAACAGAGAGGCATGGAAAGGATGCAGGAGTTCGCTTTTGCCTGAGCCCACTGGGAAGGGAAAGGTTAGGCATGTGGGATCGATAAAAAATGTTTCTAAAGTCATTACAAAATTAGAGGGTGCTGGTGTTTGGTCTCTACAGTCTTTCTAAAGTTGTTGTTCATTCGTTCAGTCTGTGCCGTCCACCCAGACGCTATAAAAAATAAAACTGCGACGTGCTTCTCTCTATGTCTGAGCGAACTGCGGGTGTCTTTCTTGAGAAGCTTGAGATACTCAGCAACTGAGGTTATTTTTTTTTTATTTTTTAAAAATATTTTTTATTGGGGTTTTGGTGTTGGTACATCAATCAGATGTTAATAATTGACATATCCATTATATCTTAAAATCT